TGTATGCGTGTGTCGTGGATCGCGTGTATTCGGAAGGCGGAATTTCGGATGCAACTTCATGCACATTTAGAATATACTGGACCAGTCAATCACTCACTCACAGGAAACACAAACAACTTCGCTGCATATAGATGAAATGAATCAATCGATGAAATCATCAACGTTAGATATTTTCAGTGGGTGAGTGAATGAGAGATACCTGAGCATGGTGAAAATGACATCTCAACAAGGCTGTGGTGAATGCCGTGGATCAACAAAATACCAGACACTCACCTCCATTTTCGCCTTTGTCGCTGTCCTCTGAAATCAATATACAAAGACACAATTGCTGAACCTGCATTCACGAGGACGTCACATCAACAAATACTGATGAAATCATACTGCATATCAGCGCTCATTGAAATGCACCGCTCTACACTACGATAAATTTCACTCCCATTACACTCGACTACAGGTCATTTAGTCGAATGTATCCGAATGAATCGCTAAAGAAATATCTGTCTGTTTATGTCCAGATGCATTTATCAATGTACAAGAAGCAAATATCGATGCATCTGACTAACCACGTGAGAACAAAACCTGTGAATTAAAAATAAGCAAGGACCCTCTGACAGTGAAGGAACTTAATGGGTTTCTGCGATATTCTGTCAAGCTTGCTGATGTTAATGCGAAGATTAATTTTCTCAGAAACTGTATGAATAATCATGAATATCCCAAGTGGTATTGGAAAGCTCTACGTCGCAATCACATTTATCCGAACTCTAAATCCCTCAAGCGTCATACTCTGAACCATATCGATTCCATTAAATCACGTGTGCCAGAACTCGAGAGGAACATAGCGCAACGATCCTCTGCGTTACACGAATTGTCTCGTGATGAACGACAAGCATTGACCGACTATGTCACTGTGGTTACGGAAAAGCGTACACAATCCATCCATTCTAACTTATTGAAAAGTCTCAAAGCTACAGAAACAAGACGCAAGTTTCCAGAAGATCCTACCAAATTTGTGTTCAATTATTCTTCAGTAATGTTATCTCCCATACAACTGGAGGCCTTGTCTCTCGGGCCAAGATTTTGCGACATCAACTCCAACATAAGCAAGCTCAATACTTATGTCGAGTTTGACAATTTGATCAATCAGACTACTGATCTTGTCCCAGCTTCCGAAGAAGAATTCAAAAATTTTAAGTCCACTATTCTAGACTCTTGTCAACAGTATCTCAATACAAAGTCCAAGTTCAACAATCTTTTGACCAAAGAACATAGAGAACAACTCAACCAACTGAGGCAGAACTAAGAATTGCTTATCACACGTCCTGACAAAGGTACAGGCATAGTCCTAATTGATAGAAAAGATTATATCAATAAAATGATGGCGATTCTCTCAGACAACAATAAGTTCTCAGTATTCGAAAAAGAGAAAGACAAAACCGAAGCAACGGAAAAACAGCTAACTGAGATCTTGAGAAAGCGAAAAACTGATCAAGTTATCTCTGAAAATATCTTCGAGAGCATTCGACCCACAGGTTCAATAATACCCCGACTATACGGATTGCCAAAAACTCATTAACAGGGTCTCCCACTGTGCCCTATTTTGGACATGTCGGGATCTCCACATCATCCAATAGCGAAATGGCTAGCAGAATTCCTACAGCCTGTCAGAGAACGAATTTCAAAACATTCTCTTCGGGATACCTTTGAATTCATCGATTGCATCAAAGATGTTAAAGTGGGAGACAAACATATGATTTCACTCGACTTCGAGTCTCTCTTTACAAACGTGCCCATCACTGAGACGATTTGTTTTCTAAGCAATTGCTTGGAAGAAAACAACCTGGATATTGGAATACCTGCCATCAAGCTAAAAGAACTCCTACTCAGATGTACCCTAAATGTCCAGTTCACATTCAATGGGAACTTCTATAGACAACACGATGGAGTGGCGATGGGATCACCTTTGGGTCCGGTGCCGACTGATATTTTCATGGCAAGTTTGGAAAACGGTCCTCTGAAAGCAACCATCGATAAATTCTTCTTATACAAAAAGTATGTCGATGATACTTTCGTCATCTGCGATCACAATTGTGATCAAAATATTGTTCTTCAAGTTTTCAATAGTTGCCACCCTGCCATCAAATTCACAATCGAAGTAGAAACCAAAAAGACAATCTCCTTTCTGGACGTTCGTCTAAGTAAGAAGACCGATGGTACATTGAACAGATCAGTACACAGAAAACCTACATGGAACGGTCAGTTGACAAACTTCTACAGTTGTGTACCAATAAGTCGCAAGCGAAATTTGATAATATCTCTGGCGACTAGAATCCGAAAAATCTGTAGTCCAGAATCAATAGAGGAAGAGATCGCCCTCTTAAGGAAGACACTGCTCGAGAATGGCTACCCACCCCGTTTTATAGACAAGCACATTAAGCCCAAGACGTACAAAGAACAACCCATTACAGTGCAGAAGAAGATGGTCTACATGAATGTACCCTTCAAAGGTGACCTTCTGGCTGACACCTTGAAGAAGAGGATATATACTGCTCTCAGAAGGACATTCTTCGCTGCCACACTTCGACTGACATTTTCCTCCCGGCCATTGTTCTTCAACTACTCTAAAGATAAACTATCGCATTTGACCACTCCCATGTGTATCTGCCAATTCACCTGCTCTTGCGGAGCGAGGTATATAGGTCGTTCGATGCGTGTTTTATCTAAAAGAGTTCAAGAACACTATCCCGCCTGGCTACGGAAAGGTAACAACGGAGCAATAAGGAGCGCCATTATTGAGCATATACTCAACACTGGTCATTCAATTTGCAATGAGAAGTCGTTCAAAGTCATCTATAAAGTCAAAAGAAGCCTTCCAAAATCGACAAGTTTCCGTATACTTTGTATTGCTGAAGCCTTAGCGATTTGGATGGAAAAGCCTGAGTTATGCACACAGAAGAAACTTCTCCACCCCCTCCTACTACCGTGGGTTTAATTTCAAGTTTATTTGACATCAACATTTTGTTATCAAATGTTTTTTGCAATTTTCGTATAGTAATTTTTTGTAACCAACCCATTCAATCTTTTCACCTATTATCTAGTTTATTTTCATAATTCTCTCCAAACTCCTTTACTAGCCTCTAATCTTTCTAAACATGTCTATATTACGTAACCCTACTCACATCTTACCAATCTTCACCCGACTTAGTTACAACTTTGATTATTAATCACACATTTTAACTTCTTCATTATTTTGATGATGTAACTCTACTCACATCTTAACAATCTTCACCCCACTTAGTTACAACTTTGATTATTAATCACACACTAACTGTTATTTTGATTTTGACAAACCTAATGTACACACACACACACACAAAATAATTGTATATATATTCACGATGGTACAGCTAAGTGAATGAATTCTCCGAAAAGAGACTCTTCGCTGAAATAATTTGTTCTTATTTCATTTTTACAAATAACTAACTACCAACATAACTATTTCGCAAGATACCTGCCTACCTATCTGATTACATATTTATCTATCTACCTTTTTCTCTATATTATTATCTATCTAATTATTTACCTATCTATCTATTTCTCACCATATAAAACTATCAATCTATCTTTCTATCTATTTATTAACCTATAAACAGTGTACGAACAAATCACTAGACACTTACCCTCAATTTCGCCTTCGTCGCTGTCCTCTGAAATCAATATCCAAATACACATTTCATTACCTTCTATTCACGAGGAAGTTCTTTCATCAAATACAAAAGAAATCATACTTCATTTCAGCGTTCTTTGAAATTGACAGGTCAACATTGCGATTAAATTCATTCTCATTACTCTCGATTACAGTTAACTCAGTCGAATGAATTCGTGTGTATGGCTAAAGAATTATCCGTCTGTATATCTGCAGATGCATTCATCTATACACATCGAGCAAATATCGATGCATCTGACTGCCGACGTAAAAATGAACCTGTACATTTTACAACCAACTATCTACCAACACACAAACCATTGCATCTATCTACATATCTGGCTATCTATCTTCTTATCTATCTATCTATCTATCTTTTTATCTTATTATCAATCTGTCTAACTATCTATCTATCTATCTATCTGTCTAATTTTCTATCTGTCTATCTATCTATGTTTCGACGTATTTAACGGAATATCCATCTAAATATCTGCTTGACCACCTGTGCATCCAACTGTCTGCTCATTTATCCTTATATCTAACCGATTATTAATCTGTCCATCTAGACACGTTACTATGGATCTCTCGGTCTATCTATGCATCTATCAGTTTTACGACAATCTTTCCATTGATACATCCATACAGCTTTCTCTCTCTCCACGGAGTTATTCGTCGACTGATTTCGCTTGTCTTCCACAGGATCACTACTGACTCACATGCAACACACGATCATTGATAAGCACGAGTGTATGAAGATGAGGAGAGCAATGCCGAGTAAGCCTGATTTCAACTCTCACACAAATACCTACAAGGCGATGTAAACCGATCATCACATTTGCTTCCCACCTGGCTAATAGGTTGATGCAGAGAAAACAGTTGTGATGAAATCTTGTTGTGGAGACAGAGTTCAGTGGCGATTGCCTTTGTGATAAGATGAAATCGAGTTGGTTGAGTAATGTGAAATGCAGTGTGTAGAGGTGTGTATGCGTGTGTCGTGGATCGCGTGTATTCGGAAGGCGGAATTTCGGATGCAACTTCATGCACATTTAGAATATACTGGACCAGTCAATCACTCACTCACAGGAAACACAAACAACTTCGCTGCATATAGATGAAATGAATCAATCGATGAAATCATCAACGTTAGAAATTGTCAGTGAGTGAATCGGAGTGCCTCACAGTGAGGGATGGATTGGTAGAGTTTGTGAGTGAATGAGTGATACTTGAGCGTGGTAAAAATGACATCTCAACAAGGCTGTGAAGAATGCTTTGAAACAACAAAATACCAGACACTCACCTCCATTTTCGCCTTCGTCGCTGTCCTCTGAATGCAATATACAAGGACATAATTGATAAACTCGTATTCACAACTAAGTTCTATCATCAAATACAGAGGAAATCGTACTGCATATCAACGCTCATTGAAATGCACCGCTCTACTCTACGACTAATTTCATTCCCATTACACTCGACTACATTTCACCTAGTCGAATGTATCCGAGTGAATTGCTAAAGAAGTATATGTCTGTTTATCTCCAAATTCATTTATCAATATATATGAAGTCAATATTAATGCAGCTGTCTACCTATATAAGTACAAACCTGAGCATTTACAAGTAACTAACTACAAGCATAACCATCTCCAAAGTACCTGTATATCTATCTACCTATCTGTCCATCTATCTACCTGCCTATCTATCTACTTATCTATCTATCTATCTATCTACCTATCAATCAATCAATCAATCTATCTATCTATCTATCTATCTATTTATCTATCCATCTATCTATCTGACTGTCATTCAATTTGTCTCTCTATATATCTTAATATCTTTCTTTCCATCTATCTATCTATCTATCCATTTATCTTTTTATCGCACCATCTTTCAATCTCTCTATCTATCTATCTCTAATTATACATCTATCTGTATATCTCTTTTTTATGTATTCGTCTAACTAACTGTGGATCTATTTATCAATTTATAGATTGGAAATCCACATTGATTCATATGAAAAAGAGAAGACATTCAGCGAAGAGACTCTTTTCGGCGAATTCATTCTCATAGCTGTACAATCGCATTTATATATAAATATTTATGTGTGTGTACATGAGGTTTGTCAAGTTAAGATAATTGATAAGTTAATACAAGAATGATGTAGTATAGATACAAAGTTAATCGGACAGCAACTAAAGTAAGATTGAGTTGAAAAGCTAGATGACGTAATATAATTGGCTAAAATGTTACAGGTCAGGATAGCAACAGAGGTAATTACAGGTAGAGATTAAGTAGAAGTGAAATTAAGTGAATAAGTTGTATGACGTAACATGAATGACTAGAACCTGAGCGAGTTCAAGTCAGTAACAGTGGTAGTGAGGTGTAGAAATTGAATCGGGTGGGGGTAGAGGACAAGAAAGTTGAAAATGTAAAATGTTACAATTGAGAAGACAAAATAATAATAATGAAGAGACAGAAGAAAAGATTAGGTAGAATTTACATGTCGGCTAATAAGATAGATTACGTCCATTGCAAGTGTAGTGATTGAACGAACTTCTTCTGTATGCAGAGTTCAGGACTCAGCAAGTGAATCGCCATTGCTTCTACCGTTTGAAGAAGTCTGATTCGTACACCTTTAGGGAGACTACTTCTTACTGGGTAGACGACTTTGAAGTTTGTTTGCGGTGAAGCTTGGTGTCCGGATTCTATCAGATGTTCTAAAATGGAACTGCGGGGGCATCGATTTTCTCCTTTGTAAAACCATGTTGGTAAGTGCTCGGTGACACGTTTGGAAAGCGAGCGTTGGGTACGGCCGACATACCTGGCTCCACACGAGCAGGTGAATTGATAAATGCACATTGATGAGGCCAGCAGCGGTAGCTTATCCTTCACGTTCACATGAATCATATATTTTGTGGAGAAGGTTAGTCGTAGTTCAGCTGCGAAGAAGGTCTTCTTAAGTGAGCGCGACAGTCGATTTTTTAGTGTTTCCGCAGATAAATATCCATTGAATTGAAGGTTCATATAGTATGGGCGGCTTTTCTGGTCTAGGATTCATAGATTTTGCAATAAATCTTTCTGGATAGCAACTCTCGACGAGGATTCTCTTGAGGTTGTTCAGTTCATCTTCTATGGTGTCCAGGGTGCAAATTGTGCGAACTCTGTAGCTGAGTGAACGGATCAGGTTTCGTTTCGTGTATAGTGGAACCAAACTGTGAAAGTTAGTAAGCTGTCCGTTCCACGTCGATTTTCTGTGGATAGATATCTTCAGCGTTCCATCCTGTTCTCTTCTTGTTAGTTGGACGTCAAGAAAAGATATTGCGGAGTTGAAATCTTACTCCATCGTGAACTGAATTGCAGGGTGGCAGTTGCAAAACGATTTCAAGATGTCGTCTAGACTTTCTTCGATGTTGGCGATAATGAAGGTGTCGTCGACGTAACTTTTAAAGACTTCGAAGGTTTGATCATTTTCTTCAGGCAGATACGTCGACAAAACTTCATTATCGTCAACAACGAAGAAAATCTAGACAACATCTTGAAGTCGTTTAAAAACAGACACAGTGCAATTCAGTTCACGATGGATCGATATATACACCCGTGTATCTAATATTTCGTGTACGTATATATATATGTCTATAAATACATCATTCTAAATAACTCACTATCTATTACCAATCAAATATGGCACTATATATATACGTAACCGTACATCAACCTATTTACAGACACACACAAGAAGTATCTGAAAGGAATTCAGGCGTGGTAGTCAACTGTTGATCAGTGCCAGCTGACGCAGTGCTTTCTGACTGATTTGCGACTGGTTGTGTTTCTGCGGAGAAAGAGGGAGAGGGAGTGGGTGTAGTGAGAGAGATACAGAGAGGTGGAGGAGAATATTTTGATGTGAATGATGCACAATTGGTGGAAGGGGTTAGCGACATTATCAACTCTGAATGATCAGGGATGTTGACTGGTGATTTTCGAGGAATGTTTTGTGTTGTGTTGTGTTGTGTTGTGTTGTCTCGTATCGCCTTGTGTATATGTATGTGAGAGAGCGTTTTGAGTTTTGTTGTGTTGTTTTGTGTACTCTTGGGTTGTTGCGTGTTGTGTGGCCCTGCGTTGTGATATCGTGTATTGTGTCGGTATGAGTGTGTCTCTGTGAGCATTTTACATTTGAATTCAGCAATTTCGCTGTGTTTCCGTGAATTTCAATTGGTTATCATTGGTAGTGAGTTAGTTAGTTGGTTGTTTGGTCAGTTGGTTGATTGATTGTTTGTTTGTTTGGTTGGTTGATCAGTTGGTTAGTTGGCTAGCTTGATATTTGTTTTTGCGTTGTTTGTTTGTTCGTGTGTAGACTGTTGTGTTTGTTTGTGTGATAGGCCGAGTGAAGTGGATGTTGGTTGATGGATACTGCTGGATGGATTATGAAGGCTGAGTTGGTGGATTGATGGGAGTGGAGAGGGCGAGTGTTGGGTGAATAATGAACTCACTCACCTGGTGTTTCTGACAGGAATTGAGGCGTGGTAGTCAACTGTTGATCAGTGCCAGCTGACGCAGTGCTTTCTGACTGATTTGCGACTGGTTGTGTTTCTGCGGAGAAAGAGGGAGAGGGAGTGGGTGTAGTGAGAGAGATACAGAGAGGTGGAGGAGAATATTTTGATGTGAATGATGCACAATTGGTGGAAGGGGTTAGCGACATTATCAACTCTGAATGATCAGGGATGTTGACTGGTGATTTTCGAGGAATGTTTTGTGTTGTGTTGTGTTGTGTTGTGTTGTCTCGTATCGCCTTGTGTATATGTATGTGAGAGAGCGTTTTGAGGTTTGTTGTGTTGTTTTGTGTACTCTTGGGTTGTTGCGTGTTGTGTGGCCCTGCGTTGTGATATCGTGTATTGTGTCGGTATGAGTGTGTCTCTGTGAGCATTTTACATTTGAATTCAGCAATTTCGCTGTGTTTCCGTGAATTTCAATTGGTTATCATTGGTAGTGAGTTAGTTAGTTGGTTGTTTGGTCAGTTGGTTGATTGATTGTTTGTTTGTTTGGTTGGTTGATTAGTTGGTTAGTTGGCTAGCTTGATATTTGTTTTTGCGTTGTTTGTTAGTTTGTTCGTGTGTAGACTGGTGTGTTTGTTTGTGTGATAGGCCGAGTGAAGTGGATGTTGGTTGATGGATACTGCTGGATGGATTATGAAGGCTGAGTTGGTGGATTGATGGGAGTGGAGAGGGCGAGTGTTGGGTGAATAATGAACTCACTCACCTGGTGTTTCTGACAGGAATTGAGGCGTGGTAGTCAACTGTTGATCAGTGCCAGCTGACGCAGTGCTTTCTGACTGATTTGCGACTGGTTGTGTTTCTGCGGAGAAAGAGGGAGAGGGAGTGGGTGTAGTGAGAGAGATACAGAGAGGTGGAGGAGAATATTTTGATGTGAATGATGCACAATTGGTGGAAGGGGTTAGCGACATTATCAACTCTGAATGATCAGGGATGTTGACTGGTGATTTTCGAGGAATGTTTTGTGTTGTGTTGTGTTGTCTCGTATCGCCTTGTGTATATGTATGTGAGAGAGCGTTTTGAGGTTTGTTGTGTTGTTTTGTGTACTCTTGGGTTGTTGCGTGTTGTGTGGCCCTGCGTTGTGATATCGTGTATTGTGTCGGTATGAGTGTGTCTCTGTGAGCATTTTACATTTGAATTCAGCAATTTCGCTGTGTTTCCGTGAATTTCAATTGGTTATCATTGGTAGTGAGTTAGTTAGTTGGTTGTTTGGTCAGTTGGTTGATTGATTGTTTGTTTGATTGTTTGGTTGGTTGATTAGTTGGTTAGTTGGCTAGCTTGATATTTGTTTTTGCGTTGTTTGTTTGTTCGTGTGTAGACTGTTGTGTTTGTTTGTGTGATAGGCCGAGTGAAGTGGATGTTGGTTGATGCATACTGCTGGATGGATTATGAAGGCTGAGTTGGTGGATTGATGGGAGTGGAGAGGGCGAGTGTTGGGTGAATAATGAACTCACTCACCTGGTGTTTCTGACAGGAATTGAGGCGTGGTAGTCAACTGTTGATCAGTGCCAGCTGACGCAGTGCTTTCTGACTGATTTGCGACTGGTTGTGTTTCTGCGGAGAAAGAGGGAGAGGGAGTGGGTGTAGTGAGAGAGATACAGAGAGGTGGAGGAGAATATTTTGATGTGAATGATGCACAATTGGTGGAAGGGGTTAGCGACATTATCAACTCTGAATGATCAGGGATGTTGACTGGTGATTTTCGAGGAATGTTTTGTGTTGTGTTGTGTTGTGTTGTCTCGTATCGCCTTGTGTATATGTATGTGAGAGAGCGTTT